CTTAGGAGTGGGTGGGCTGATGGACCTGCTTACGTAACACAATGTCCAATACAGACCAATCAGACATATACTTACAACTTCACTGTCACAGGGCAGAGAGGAACTCTCTTCTGGCATGCTCATATCTCATGGATGAGAGCAACAATTTACGGACCCATCATCATCCGCCCAAAGAGAAACGAGTCTTACCCCTTCAAAAAACCATACAAGGAAGTTCCCATTATCTTCGGTAACCTTCATATATATGGCATTTTGCATTTTATGCTCAGATTTTTGCAGCATCTTTTAATATAACTCCATTGTTCAAATTCAGGGGAGTGGTGGAATGCAGATCCTGAGGCTGTAATAAATCAGGCTCTGCAAACAGGGGGTGCCCCAAATGTTTCAGATGCATACACTATTAATGGTTTTCCAGGGCCCTTGTATAATTGTTCTAAAGGTATCATCAGTAGCTATAATGAAAAACTAACATTAACAGAATTGTTAAAAGTTAAGTGTTAAATCGTGTATATAAAATGTTTTAGTTAATAATACTATAATTATAGTCTAATCTCTCCTAAATTATCATGTATTTGGGTTGGTTTCAGATACATTCAAACTAAAGGTGAAGCCAGGGAAGACATATATGCTTCGTATAATCAATGCTGCAATGAATGATGAACTATTCTTCAGCATTGCAAACCATACAGTGACAATTGTTGAAGCTGATGCTGTATACACCAAACCATTTCAGACTGACGTAGTATTGATAACCCCAGGTCAAACCACCAATGTTCTACTAAAAACCAAGCCATACTATCCCAATGCCACTTTCCTCATGACTGCCAGGCCTTACTTCACCGGCCAGGGCACTTTTGACAATTCAACAGTTGCAGGTATTCTAGAATACGAGCACCCGTTGAATCATACTTCCTATACAAAAAAGATGGTTTTCAAGCCAACTCTTCCACCAATCAACGCCACCACTTTCGTTGCAAACTTCACCAGGAAGTTCCGTAGCTTAAACAACCCTAATTTGACTGCAAGTGTTCCACAAACAGTGGACAGGCGATTCTACTTCATCGTGGGACTAGGCTCGAGTCCATGCCCTAAAAATACAACTTGCCAAGGACCTAATGGCACAAAATTTGCAGCATCAGTTAATAATGTTTCTTTTGCTCTTCCCACTACAGCTTTATTACAAGCCCACTTCACCAAAAAATCAAACGGTGTCTATACCACTGATTTTCCTACCAACCCACCAAAGCAGTTTAACTACACAGGGACACCACCCAACAACACTGTAGTGAGCAATGCAACACGCCTTGTTGTATTGCCATTCAACACCAGTGTGGAGCTTGTTCTCCAGGACACAAGCATTTTGGGTGCTGAAAGTCATCCTCTTCATCTACATGGCTTCAATTTCTTTGTTGTTGGTCAAGGATTTGGAAATTACAACCCAAACAAGGACACAGCCAATTTCAACCTTGTGGATCCTGTTGAAAGGAACACATTTGGCGTTCCAGCTGGAGGTTGGGTAGCCATTCGGTTCCTAGCAGACAATCCAGGTGCATATTACAAAACATTAATTAGTTTTACAAAGAACACAGCGGGCAACTTTACATGCATGGTCTGTGATACACCAATGTGTCTACCATTTCATATTGGGAAATGTGTGTTTACTTTTCACCTAGTGAAATATTTCACTGTGTGAAAGAGTAGAATCATTGGTGCTGAACTCAGTGCATGCAAGCATTTCGATTGTATGGAACTAGCAGTGTTAACTGGTATTAGTTGTTTGCATTATGAACAGGTGTGTGGTTTATGCACTGCCACTTTGATGTACACACAAGTTGGGGTTTGAGGATGGCTTGGATTGTGATGGATGGGCCACTACCAAATCAAAAGTTACCACCACCACCATCAGATCTTCCAAAATGTTGACAGCTGTGATTGAATCCACGTGGACTCCTCAACTTTTGAGTTCTCATCTTTCTCTCTGAGTTAATTTATGTAATTCTTTTGCTGAGTGTGTAGTCAGAAGAGTGATAAGTCCTTCAATTTTATGTTACTTTGGCTTAAAAGGCAATGTTTGATATTTTAATCCTTGTACCTTCACTTGCAAAACGCTCTTTCATTCAGTTTTCAAGACGCGGTTCAGATACTGTTCTCATCACTTCTTTTTCTCTCTGTCTTCTCTTGACAAGTCTGACTATAAAATAATTTCACTAATAAAGAAGAAAGAAAAAGGATTATGGAGAGGATGATGCGATACATTCATGGCAGAAAGGAGGATAAATGAGTACCCGAAGAAGAAGATTTCACCCCCAATTATAAAGAGTAATGCTATTTATCATCATCATGATGGAAGATTGGTGATGTGGCAACCTATTATCTCTCACATGTATCTCTCTCTCCTCCCCTTCTCTCTCATAAAATTAAACTGCCAAATCTTATTATTCCATATAGACGGCCACACGACCGATGTTCCATCATCATAATAATAAATAGCATTATTCAATTCTGAACTAGTTGAAGTGTTGAAAATCAATGCCCAAGACACTGCAACAGCTGTATGAATCTAGAAAACAACTACAGGAAAAAAATAACTTGTATACATATAAAGCAAACCAATAAAAGGGAAGGATAGCATAATGAGCATGAAAAATAATAAAGATGCCTAGAACGATAGTAAAACAAAATAAAATGCAGAAAATCTACAATGTAATGAAATCTCTCCATCAATAGAGAGGGAGAGCAGATCTTGCAAAGGAGTGGTACATTTCATTCCCCTTTTGTGCTGTTGTGGCGTTCTTTTTTCCTTAGCAACCGCAAACACAAATAGGATGATGTAACGTGGAAGAACAAATGTTGGTCCATAAACATTATTATGTTCAATTACGATAAAACAAAATAGGCTGGATCAATTAAGGGAATCTTTATTCTCACGGTGGTCATCTTACAGGCTATACACGACGTAAGTATTTGCAAATTTAGCCATCCATATATGATTGAT